AAATTTAAATAAGAAATTTAAAAAATTAAACAATTTAATATCCATTTTAAAAAAACAAAAAAACATACATTATAAATTATAAATACACTCTTAAGATTTGATTAAATACGAATTATCCTCTACAGTTGTGGAAATTACATCTCACATTTTGAAATTTCTTTCATAACAAATAGCATCTTTTAATAACAACTTACCAAGTCAATTAATAGTTTTTAATAGAGAAAATTTATGATAAATCCAATTTAAAGAGTGTCTAAGGCATTAGATCCAATGAATATTTTTTGTTAGTAAAAGGTCTACATTTTGTGAAATAGTTTGGTGAGAAGTCTTATAAGACATTTTTTTTTCAATTTTACCTATTGACTTATTTTTTATCTATTTGACTTTTTGTTGACTATCTGTTCAATTTTTTACCCTATCTATTCAAATTCTATGGATTTCTCTCTCTATCTGTTCAAATTCTATGAGTTTTTCTTTATTCTTATCTGTCAAAACAATATCTATTGAAATATATTGTTTGTTTAATTTTTCATCTGCTTAATATTTTTTTATCTGTTTAACTATTTATTTTTTTATCTATTCATTCCTCATCATCTATCTATGACATTAAATATAAGAAAACAACAAAACAATGCACCAAAAAGAGAAATTATATGTTCAATCAAACACACATATCAGATCCAAACAATACCCCTGAATAGATAAAAGAATTTCAGAGTGTGTTATTCACTGATTGAAAAACACAAGACCAAATTAAATCTATCTGTCAAAAACAACAACAACAACAATAACAACAACAAAGAAAAAAAAAATTCAGATCATCATTAATAAAAAGAAACAGCCAGATCACTCAAAAAATTTCAAACCAGAAACAAATCTAACACAAACAACCACGATTACTACAACCAAAGAAATCTCACTCATCACTCTTCTTCTCTAGATCTGACTTATTTCCTCCAAATCTGACTTCAGATCTATATTCATATAAACACACAAAGAACCATCATCACCAGATATTTATATAAACACACAGAGATCGGACCACCAAACAACCATCAACTATCAGTAGAGTCATTAATGACAATGGCGACAATAATCGAAGCGGCTCTAGCTACGATGAAGAGCCGAATTGGTAGTCCGATCTCGATCTAGACAGTGAGAGGACAATGATGGACTGGCAAAGACAAAGGTGAGACGGTAACAGCATACTCGCGGAAGCAGAGGTGAAGCGACTCCGGCGATGATGAATGACCGAATTGGTGGTCTGATCTCGATCCCGACGGTGAGACTACAACGGCGAACTTGCGAAGGATCTTGATCGTAACAGTAAGATGGAGACGGAATATTCACGAAAGCAGAGGTGAAGAAGAGAGAGAAAGAGAAAAGTTAGAGGCAATGGTAGACTCGCAAAAGCAGAGGTGAAAAAGAGAGGAGAGAGAAAGAAAGAGAGAGAGAGAGAGAGAATAGTTGGTTTGGTCATTTTTGTGACAACCCTGATCCATAGTTAGTCCATAATACATGATTACAAATTCTAATAAAGTGGTTAAGCTAAATTATGCGCTAATTGTGTGATTTGCATGTTATTTGAATTTCTATCTGTTAATCGTAGGAATATTTGTTCAGAATTCTACTTTGTTCTGTTAATTAATGGCCTTATCAGCATCTGAACATGAAACTGACTAGGTCAACGTGTAATTTAGAATTTTTGGAATATTACAATGAGTATAATTAGAACTCAATTCGAAATCAAATAATTAGAATAAATTGATTAGAATTAAATAAGTCTAACCAAACTTAATTAAGTCCTATTATCTAAGCCTATATAAGGCCACTTGTAACTCATGAACTATATTCTCTACACCTCATTTCTTGAACAAAATGTAGAGAGAGAGAGAGAGAGAGAGAGAGAGATTGAGTTTAACTCAAGAGAAAGGAAAGATTTGAGAGAAATATTGAAAATTTGGCTTGAATCTAAGCTAATGACTTGGAATTGGAAAGAACAACTTATGACTCTTGCTAATTCAAGACTTTAGGTGAGTAATCAACTCCTAACTTTTATGTTTCAGCCATTAATCATGTAGATTCAAGAAGTTTACGTGATTTAACAAGAGAATTGAGGTAAGGAAAAAGAAAAGAAGAACACTCCATGCATGCATGCATAATTCATAGATTTTGAGTTTAAATTTCAACAAATACTCACATGCATGGTGTTCTTTATGCTCAAGTTTGGGAAGTGAACATGCTTTTACACTTTTCACTCCATGAATCCATGTTTTGGAAGTTTTGAATTCATATCATTACATGCATATGATTATATGTAAAGTTTTAACTTGGTTTTGAAGAATTGATTTGTGTTTGGGCCTTGATTTTACGAATTAACCTTTATTTCATGTTTTACTACAAGTTTCAAAGTATTTTCTAAAGTTTTTGGCCCAAATGAACAAGCTTGAAGCTTTGGAATTGAGTTTTGAACCTTGTAGAGCAATTTGGAAATTTCAGAATTCGTAGGATTCGCTCAAGCGATGGTACATTTGCTCGAGCGTAATTTGTGAGCTTTCAGAAGTTTTGTAGAGATTAATGGTTGGCTCGAGCAACCATCCTTTATTTTCAGTCTTGGCTCGAGCGACCAAGAAATTAGCTCAAGCGTAGAATTCGAGCTCCCAATACTTTAGCAGACTTTGCAAACCGCTCGAGCGAACAAAGGTGTACTCAAGCAAACTATCATGTTTTTTGAAATTTTGTAAAGTGTTTCAAAGTGCATAATTGCATCATTATTTCTATCTTAGGCATTCTTAAGCCATGATTTAAGCTACAACAATGAGGATAAGGGTTAAAAACACACATAGAAAGAAATGAAATAAGACAAGTGTTTACAGAGCGTGTGTTTCAATGTGTATCTGTCATGTGTTTGTGTAGGTCACGTGCTACCGTCTGTCTAATTCGTCTGTTCAGTTTTTGGAGTTGTCTGTGAGTAACAACCTTGTAAAGATATGTTCAATTATAAATATTTTCTGACTGATATGATAAGCTCTATTTTCTAAATGATATTTTCTGTATAGATGAATGATTATCCAATTTCTGAAATGTATCGTGGCATCCTTAGTATCATGTGAATCTGTTATCTGTTATCTATTATCTGGTACCAGGGATCTTTATGGGTTCCAATCATGGAACTATCTGTGAAACTTATATGGTTATCGGTTACGATTGTACACAATCATCTGTCTGATATGAATATAGGTCTTAATGGCCATCTGCTCTGTGCATAGGTCTTTACGAGCAATCTAAACTATTAGAGCTAATGGATGTACCACATATGACTGTTTACAAATCTGAAAATGTATATGAATCTTTTTCTGATCTGAATTCTGATTTCTAAATCTGTTTTGGATATCATTCATAAAAACATTTACTTTATTGTTATTCACTAGGTTCCAGCTCATTGTTTATATTATGTATGTAGGTGATCAGGCACGTGACTAGACTTGAGACTTCCAGTCTAGATCTATTTTTGTCAAGCCAACTAATGCGCCTTACGTGGAGGTTCCCAGAAGTCTTTGTGCTCAGTGTTATGTCAAGTGAACAGTCTAAATTTTATTTTCTTACGTTCTTTGGACAAGTTTTTGGTTAGTTATAATAGGACTAAGTCCCTTCTGTGTTTATCTATATTTGGATGACGTAAGAATATTGCGTTAATATATATATATATATATAAAGTTTAAAATTTTTTGTCTCATATAAGTCTGCACAGTTTTATGGACATTATATATTTGTTATTTGTTTCTGCTAGTCCCTTATATTATGAATCTGTCTCAGAGGCTTTTTGTGATCTTAAGATTATTGGCCGGTTACGACGCTAAATCTATAATCTTAAGGGTGTATCTATAATTTATTCAATAAAAAATTAATAAATCAAATCTTTTAGATTAAGTAGATGTTTTAGACTGGACTTGTAATAATTAAATTAAACCCAATATTAAACCAGACCGAAATTGAAATAATATACATCTACTTATATTATATAGTGCAAATGTGACGGAACCTGATATGATCCGAGGTATGTCTAGGAATAGCAACGGGGCGGGGCCGGGGATCACTCTCCCCTTCCCCGATCCCCGATGGTGGAAATTCTCCCGACCCTGGCCCCGGCCCCGATCCCCGACGGGGAACCCACTACCGCCCTCACCCCCGTCCCAGGTTATAGCGCCCTTTTTTTCCCCGGCCAAAAAAAAAAAAAAAAAAACAATTCATCAACAACAACATCAACAATCTGAGCTCAAACATCAACATCTCCAACAGATCTGAGCTCATCAACATCTTCATCTCCATCATTTTCCAAATCTGAAGAACAAAACCAAAAACAAGAGAGAGAGAAGGAGATCCGTAAGAGAGAAAATGAAACGAAGATACCGTGAGGGAGATCAGTCGGCGGTGAGAACGAGAGGAAGTCGGCGGTGAGGGAGCTGCCGGTGAGAACTTGAGAAGAAGCCGGTGATGAGGGAGAGCTACGGTTGTTCGTGAGAAAGTGAGTGAGAGTGAGAGAGAGAGAGAGAGGGAGGCCACTGTTATGTTGTTGGGTCAACACACACACACACACACATATATATATATATATAAACACACAACACACGCATATATATACTTATATATAAATAAACATGATCACATATATACTTATATATATATAAATAAACAGATCGGGGAGCTGAACGAGGATGGAGTCGGAATCGGGATTGAAAAATGTATTCTCGTCCCCGGCCCGAATATCACCGAGAATTTAATTTTAAATACCATTCTCAACCCGTCAAGAGTATTTTTCAAGAAAAAATCGTTCGATTCAAAATTAAAGGGTCAAATACCCGTCGAACCGGATTGAAATTATCATCTCTAGGTACGTCCACACCTACCTTAATTCCAACCACCGAATTGCAGCGACAATTCTACAGTAACCACCTTTTCAAGCACTCACGCGGCATTCCCACGCTTTTCTCTCTCCCTTCCATTTCTTTTCAATTCCTTAAACGCCTTTTCCCACTGCTGCTAAAATAAAATAAAATAAAACTCCGCCCTTTACCAACTATTCCACGTCTTCTCTTTCACTCCACATTACCAGCATATCCACCAACTACAGAGACATTTCATAGGAAGAGAAGAGATAGAAAGAGAGGAGAAAAGACTGATATTTTAGAGAGAGAAAATAGAGAGAAGAAGAAGATGTTGGAGTTGTGTTACAAGCCGCTGGAGCGATTCTTCGGCGGCGGCGCGTGCGGCGGAGGAAGTGGCGGCGACGGACTGCTTTGGCACATGGACTTGAAGCCTCATGCCGGCGGTGACTATTCGATCGCAGTTGTTCAAGCTAATTCCTCACTTGAAGACCAGGGCCAAGTCTTCACCTCCCCCTCCGCCACCTACGTCGGCGTTTACGACGGCCACGGCGGCCCCGAAGCCTCTCGTTTCATCAACAACCGCCTCTTCCCTTACCTCCACAGTACTTTCCACTGCCCTAATTTTCTATTTCAATTTTCAATTACTTGTTTCTATGCATCTTTGTTATGTATGTATGCATGCATTCTTTGTTTTGTTTTTGTTTTTGTTTTTGTTTTTTTTCATTTTTTCACAGTTTTGCTTCAGTTATTGATGATATGGATGATTCAAACATATATAAGATGCTAGGTTTTGTTAATCGTTCATTCTGACACTTTCTCAGTAACCAAACAGATTGTTATTGTGGTCGTCCGTATTGTTGTTGATTAAAATGAGGGGAAATTATAGGAGAGATAATTTTGAACATTCTGTTTTATATTTTTCTTTGTAATCTTTTCAAAAAAAAAAAAAAAAAAATAAAAATAAAAAAAAAAGGTTTTTTTTTTTTTTTTTGGTTTAATGTATTTGCCAATTTTGGTTTCCCAGAGTTTTCTTCGGAACAAGGAGGATTGTCTGCAGGTGTGATAAAGAAGGCCTTTGATGCTACTGAAGAGGAATTTTTGCATTTGGTCAAGCGATCATGGCTAGCTCAGCCTCAAATTGCTTCGGTTGGGTCTTGTTGTCTAGTTGGGGCGATTTCAAATGACATTTTGTATGTGGCCAATCTTGGGGATTCGAGGGCGGTGCTTGGGCGAAGAGTATCAGATGGGCCAACGAGAAATTCGACCACAGTGGTGGCAGAGCGGTTATCAACGGATCATAATGTTGGGGTTGAGGAGGTGAGGAAGGAAGTTGAGGCTCTTCATCCCGATGATTCCCACATTGTGGTATATTCTCGTGGAGTTTGGCGAATTAAGGGCATAATTCAGGTATCAATTATCGCTTTCTTTTGCTTCTTGTGATGAATAGCTTTGATTGAACATCTTTAATCAGTTATTTTCTAAACTAGTCGTTGATTGTTATCTTATATTTGATTATTGAGTTCATTTTGTTTAGAATCAATCAAGTAGCAATGGATGAGATGAGTTGTAATTACAGATTTTGCAATCATACTAATAGGGATAAATCTCATTGGGAAGCATACAGTGATCAAATGATAATTTCATTAAATCCATGCTGATGCAGTGCTCGTGTGGTTGATTTATCTTCCATCTTCCCAATAATTTGACATAGTATATGTTTGCTTCCAGTTTTGCAATTCAAATGACAACTATTTTGGTCGTTGAATGTTTGCCTCTGATAGGAACAGTGAGTTGGTTTTTAATCATAATTCCCTTCACCAATTAGAACTGTCAAATACTATTATGGTATTCATGGTGTAGTTGAGTTATTGGAAAAGATCGTCATGGCAATTCTTGGTTCAGCATGATCACCAACTCTTACGAACTGACTGGATGTTTGGTTTCTCTTCTGGATTAAGCTCGAGAAAAGTCACTGGTTTGAAAAGATGGAAGGTTTAAATCCGCATATGCATTTGTGACCAAGTATATGCTTTATTATTTTGTCAACCGTCTATGAATACAGTTTCCTGCAAAGCCTCTTTTTTGTGTTTATTTCCTTCTCTTTACCATGAAATTTAGCACCGATGCAGTCTGTAGCCTGCCAAATTTTAAATCATTTTCATTTCTGTAGTTTGATGTCAAACCTATTTCAGGACTGACCTTAATAGAAGAACCTTGTTATGTGAGAGATCTTGACCGTTAAAAATAACATAACAAATAAATAAATAAATAAACAATTCTTTTACTTGAGAATAGTGGCATTAAGTGTAGTCATTATGATGGAGATTCTGTACAAAATCCCTGTTGTTATCCTAGGGTTCTTTCACTAATTCTCTCTTTTTGACAATTTAGAAGTCTTCATCATGCTGATCTTGAACAGTGATCTATATTGCATAATTGGATAAAAAGATTCATTAATTTCCCCATTAATATCTTTACTGCAAATGGCATGTCTTGCCTTTTTGGCCACCCTTTCATACTGCTAAAGTAAAAGTGTGATGTGTTTGTACTAGGGTTCACAAGTCATGAGATGCATATCAAATCCTAAAAAGCTTAGAATTGGGACACACAAGTTGAAATATTTCTCTTCTACTTTCTGTCGAGGTGATTTGCATTGCATGCTGTGATTATACTCACCTTACAAATATAAGTTTTGCAGCTATACGGAAAATCAGAAATTACAGTTAGTACATGGCTATAATAATTTTAATTTCTTGACCATTGGATTTGACTTTAAAAGATCACATGATCTTTGTTGTGCAAGACAACTTTTAATGAATACCCACTTGATTTTTTTCTTTTAAAAAAATAAATAAACAAAATTATTGCTACTAGTTTACCTCATGGAGTTGTGTTTGTAAATTATATTTAATATATTCACCTCTGTTAAAATATCTCTCTGATCTTTCTTTTAATTGTTTATTAGGTGTCCAGATCAATTGGCGATGTTTATCTGAAGAAACCTGAGTTTAACAGAGACCCTCTTTTCCAACAATTTGGATCAGCAGTTCCTTTAAAAAGACCCGTAATGTCAGCAGAGCCTTCTATATTGGTTAGAATGTTAAGGCCACAGGACTTATTCTTGATATTTGCATCAGATGGCCTCTGGGAACAACTGAGTGATGACTTTGCCGTTGAAATTGTCATGAAAAATCCTAGAGTCGTAAGCCCTGTCATGCTCCTATTATTCTTTCTATTCATCGCTCCATTGCTATGCTTTGTTACTACAGTGGTTGGCATGCGAATTGGGATCAACTTGCTAAATTTCTGAACTCATATTTGCTTGTGATTGGATAATTTTTTTTTTTTTTTTTTCGTTTAGGGAATAGCAAAGCGATTGATTAAAGCTGCACTTCAGGAGGCTGCAAAGAAAAGAGAAATGAGCTATGATGACATAAAAAGAATTAGAAAGGGGGTTAGGCGGCTTTTCCACGATGATATCACAGTGATTGTGATATATCTTGATCATCAACAAGGCTCTCCAAGCAGCAGTAAATGCAAGGATTATCGCATGGTCGATTGCACTAGCACCCCGGTTGATATTTTCTCACTTAATTCCGATGAAGGAGATAACACACTTTGTACATCTCGTTAAACAGTCCTTGGCACTTTGTGTTGCCCTGTAAATACAATAAATTTTATTCAAACCGGGGAATATATGGAATTGAAGATAAGAATTAGAAGGAGGAGATGTACATATAAATATTGTGAAGGAGGGATGACAGACTGAAGCTGCTGACTTCCCCGGCTTGGGTTTCGACCTCATTTGACTTCTTTTTTTTTTTTTCTGTATTTATTGTTCCATTTAAGTGAGATTGAACCACAAATGTTTTTTCTCAGGATTTTTTTTGTATGTGTTTTGTTGGGTTACATGCTTTTTAACACAACAGGCATATTTTTAGGGTAGGCAAAACCCCTATATATTGGGCATGCTCTTAATGGGGTATGGTATAAATCTAATTGAAGAAAAAGTGACACCAACTAATGAAGGTCAAAAAATATATATTTTTTAAACAAATGTTTAAGAGTATTACTCAATAAGTTTAAAATAATTGTATATTCTTTATAAAATTATATGTTATGCAAATGAAAAATGTTTAAGACCTCATAAATCTTTCATAATTTAATCCATAATGATATAATCTGATAAGTGTCAATTTTTAATAAGTTAAACGCTCAATGATATAGGATCCATCACTCTTATCACATCATTGTAGATGTATTTGTAAGTGTAAAATGTGAGTTTCTAGTATTGTTGTATATTTGTTCCAAAAAAAAAAAGCATTGTCGTATACAAATAATTTTTTTTTTAATTTTATTAATTAATATTTTTAGGACACTGGTTGATTCTTTTTCTAATAATTATTTAGTGCTTAAAGCCTCGTTGATCTCAATTAATTAAACTCTTCAACCATGTGAACAGACTTCTAATCTCAATGAAGTAACAGATATCAAAACATGATCAAACATAAAATCAATATTTTGAGTAACTCGGGTTGTCAAGATGATTTTGATTTTTATTTCCGATGTAACTTTAATAAAAAAAAATGAAAGAAGACGATTTTGGTTTTATCTTATTAACCTTAAGTCGAATTTCTGACACAAAATTTAGGTTTTTTATTTTTTTATTTTGGGGGGGACCAAATAGGTACGTGGCTTCCTTTAAACGTAGTTGTTACTATTATTTACTTTGTTTGGTTTTATTTTTTTAAAAATACTTTTCAGAAAATTTTATTTTCTTATTTTTCGTATTTTTTTATTTTTATTGAATTTTTTAAATATTTTAAGTAATTTTTTTATTTTTTAGACATACCTAACATAAATATACTTAAAACGTAAAAATTTTGTGAAATTTTTTTTTTAAAAATTCACTAAATACAAAAAATACTAAAAAAAAATACGAGAATTTAGTACATTTTATGTATTTATTAATTTTTTAAAATATTTTTTTACAAATTTTTTACTTTTTAGATACATCTAAATAAGGTACATCTAAAAAAAAAATGTTTAAAATTTTAAAATATTCACTAAAAACAAAAAAAATACGAAAACCAAAAAATTCAATTTTTTAAAATTTTAATCCAAAAAATTCAAACTAAACACACTGATTATTATTTTTCGATTGCCAAACATTAGAGTTACTTATTTATTTTGAAATTCGAGTTACTTTAATAATTAGATAAATTATAAATATATCCTTAAAATTTATTTAAAATAAAAATTATTTTATGTGATTCAAAAAGTTACATATCTTTTTTTGAAAATTTTAATTTTATAATAAATGACATATTTTATTAATAAATTATAAAATCAATTAATATTTCTTCCATTCCAAAACAATAGTCCTTTTTGGAGAATTCAACTTTTTTTGTTAGTACAATTATTGCATTTTAAAAAAATTAATTTTTCAAAATTACCCTTTAATAGTACATTTTTTGAGAAATATCAATTGTCATAATTATATTTTTTATGTTGTTAATGAATTTAAAATAAGGATAAAATAGAAAATTCATATTATTTTTATCCTTGATTTTTGAAAAGGGATTAATGCTTTGGGACAATGAAAAATAGAATAAGGGACTAATATTTTAGGACGGAGGAAATATTGTTTAATGATGTCAGAAATACAATTCAATTAATAATACATGAAATTTTATTATTGTATAAGAGAGTAGTTAGAATTTTTTTTTGGTTAATTATGTTAAATAAAAATTTTTGACAATGAGATATTTATAATTTTTCAAACGATAATGCTACACGCACCAATTAATATACTAACTAGTGTACCAACACTAGTTATGATATTATTATTGACCCTACTTATTAATCACAATACAAATACCAAAAACTTCTTAAATTATGACATATCATCAATTAGTATACTAATTAGTATACAAATTAGTGCATATAGCATTATTCTTTTTCAAATCACATGAGATGATTCTTATTTTAAATAAATCTTATGAGGTATATTTGTAATTTATAATTTACCCTCATTAATTCGGGCCACAAAAAATTACATTTAGGGATTAGTGATGTACATAAAATTCATATAAAAAATTGAGTTTTGCTACATCAACTTATTTCATCACCCTTAATTACACCTCTAATGAGATGGCAAACAATTTTAAAAGGAGAGAGAATAATTTGAAAAAAATTTGATTGGATGGTATCATTTGTCACTTCATTAGAGGTATAATTGGAGGTGATAAAATAGAGGATGAAGCCAAACTTTAAAAAATTTGACAAAAATAATATGACAATATTATTATTGTAAATAAGTTCATATTCAATGATATTTTATTTTGAAATGAAAAAATAATAATAAACTGCATTATCATGTATAATTTTTTTATTTGCGTAGCATTATTATTTATGAGTCTTGCTAACAAGCGTCCATGGGACACATGTAAAAGACAAAATATTTATAAAATGTAATATATTTTTCACTAACTCAATTTTTTTTGAGGCCCTTAATATTAAAATTTTATAAGATAAATGACATATAATATTTTCATAGTAATTGAGGTCTCTCAACATTTTCACAGAAAAAATTCAACATACAGAAATTTTGCCCCGACATAGAGATTTCGCTCCGATACAGAGAAATTTCAAATTTTTTCTAATATGATCATAGATAAATTTTATCGAGAGTCTTAACTAATAAAAAAATATATATTGGATCTCTCCTACAATATTTTCATAGTAATTGAGGTCTCTCAACATTTTCACAGAAAAAATTCAACATAAAGAAATTTTGCCCCGACATAGAGATTTCGCTCCGATACAGAGAAATTTCAAATTTTTTCTAATATGATGATAGATAAATTTTATCGAGGGTCTTAACTAATAAAAAAAAAATATATTGGATCTCTCCTACTATCCAGAGTTGGATATGGATGTTTCATTAATTTTTCCCTAATTTTAATGTATTTTTAATGAAATCAATACATCTCTTAATACTTTTACATATTTTTAAGACATTTTTTACACACTTCTCAACATTAAACAATAGCTAAGGGGATAAGTTCTCCTTCATACCGTTCCATACTCTTTTTATGGATTTTACTTTGGACCCGTACTGATAATCTGAACTGTCTATCTCGTAGTCTCTACAATGAAAATCATTAATGTAAATATTTAACTTTATCGAACAACTATAAATATGGGAACAAATTGCATTTTGTTTTATAAAATAGATGGTTCAAATTTAATTATATTTGACTTTTCATTTTATAAAATAAAATGAAATTTATTTTTTATTTATAATTTTCTGATGAAATTAATTTTTTTCATTACATTTATTGTGGGACTTACGAGATAGACAATTCAAATTATCGATACAAATCCAAATTAAAACTTACAAAAAAAAAAGAAGTATAGAGAGATATGAATAGATAGGAAGGGAATAAGGCATCCCTCTCCACAGGAGTGACTCAAGTTTGAATTTTGGGGGGCAAATTCGCTGCTTCACAGCTGGCTCTCTACAGAGACCTCGCTTTGTACTTTGATCGAAACTTGGGCTCGTCTGTGGTGTGTGGTTAAGCTCTGTTGGTGCCTCGGTGGTAGATCTCTTCCTATGAGTTAGGTCAAATCAGGCCAATAATCGGTTATCCTGGGACCTGAACCCATAGATGTAGTGATGACATTTTAAAACATCATTTTTTCTAAGTAAAAAACACAAATTGCATTTTGTTTTATAAAATAGATGGTTCAAATTTAATTATATTTGACTTTTCATTTTATAAAATAAAATGAAATTTATTTTTTATTTATAATTTTCTAATGAAATTAATTTTTTTCATCACATTTATTGTGGGACTTACGAGATAGACAGTTTAAATTATCGATACAAATCCAAATTAAAACTTACAAAAAAAAAAGAAGTATAGAGAGATATGAATAGATAGGAAGGGAATAAGGCATCCCTCTCCACAGGAGTGACTCAAGTTTGAATTTTGGGGGGCAAATTCGCTGCTTCACAGCTGGCTCTCTACAGAGACCTCGCTTTGTACTTTGATCGCAACTTGGGCTCGTCTGTGGCGTGTGATTAAGCTCCGTTGGTGCCTTGGTGGTAAATCTCTTCCTATGAGTTAGGTCAAATCAGGCCAATAATCGGTTATCCTGGGACTTGAACTCATAGATGTAGTGATGACATTTTAAAATATCATTTTTTCTAGGTAAAAAAAAGAAGTACAACCTCATATGGCCAACTTCCCTGACCGAGACTGTATCGACAACATGTGAATATCACGCGGCAGCCGCTGCAAACTCTCTTCCCCAACCATTGACATTCATGCCTACCTTCCTCAATTCACAAAATAGGTTGGTTTGGGAAGTTGGTTAAATACTGGGGTTTTTTTTTTGTTGGCTTTTTTGGCCTTTTATGTATAAAAAATATGAAAAGTGATGTGACTCAACATGAGTTAAAAGTTAAAAATTAACTTTTAGCTAGCTTCCCAAATTGCCCCACATAGACCCAACACCAACATCATGGTCAGTTGTACTAATAAATACCTCCAAATCTCGCCTCTCTCTTCCCTCATTCTTCATTCACTCTCCTTCTCCTTTAAACCTACCATACCAATTTCACGCTTCAAAGCCCACAATCACCGAATTAATCGAACAAGCTAGACAGAAATGGAGATAGCTGAAGAAGCTCACAACGTGAAGGTCTTGGGATCAGGAGAGAAAACGATAGTTCTCGCACATGGTTTCGACATCGACCAGTTGGTGTAGAGGCACTTGGTGCCTCAACAGGTAGACGATTATAAAGTCATCTTGTTCGATAACATGGGTGTGGGAACCACCAACCCTGAATACTTTGATTTCGAGAGGT